TATGGATAAGCTAGGGCTAGCATCAGAGAGGCTAGCGACTAGCATGGATAAGCTGGTTTTAGCATCGGTGAGACTAGAGACTAGTATGGATAAGCTAGTGTTAGGATCAGAGAGGCTAGCGACTAGCATAGATAAGCTGGTGTTAGCATCGAAGAGGCTAGTAACTAGCATGGATAAACTGGGGTTAGCATCGAAGAGGCTAGAAACTAGCATAGATAAGCTGGTGTTAGCATCGGTGAGACTAGAGACTAGCATGGATAAGCTGGTGTTAGGATCAGAGAGGCTAGCGACTAGCATGGATAAGCTGGTGTTAGCATCAGAGAGGCTAGCGACTAGCATAGATAAGCTGGTGTTAGCATCGGTGAGACTAGAGACTAGCATGGATAAGCTGGTGTTAGCATCGGAGAGGCTAGCGACTAGCATGGATAAGCTGGTGTTAGCATCAGAGAGGCTAGCGACTAGCATAGATAAGCTGGTGTTAGCATCGGTGAGACTAGATACTAGCATGGATAAGCTGGTGTTAGCATCGAAGAGGCTAGAAACTAGCATGGATAAGCTGGCGTTAGCATCGGAGAGGCTTGGTTACCGGGGCTAGCTGCTTAGTTAATGGTGCCAGCCTATCATTAATCAGATCAATAGCTGGTTAAGAATAGATATAGCCTTCTGCTACAAAGATGTAGCAACCGCTGGTTGTGCARTAGTCCTAATTTTGGCCCTCATAATTGGTCCCTCCTTCAGTTTACCTCTACCCTTTTGCTGCCCACCTATGTGTTTAAAATGGTTAGGGAGTATTTAGTCAGAAATGGTTTCCAGAAGTTATGTAAATAATAAAAACGACAGCATGCAATTTGTAGTTCTAACCAAGAAACAACTGGTCAAATCCTACATGTTTGAGGCCTTGTCTACACTACTCAATATGTTTTTTAAAAACACAACAAAACAATAATAAACAAGAATCACGGGAACAAGTGGAAATTTATAGAATAARCTGGGATATCAGCTGAGAATAAACAGCTTTACTAATGATTCTTTCTAAACAATTACAGCATGTAGCTTTAAATTTTCCTCTATTTTTACAACCCCAATACCAATGAAGTTGTGTAAAACAAATAAAAAACAGAATTTGACAATTTGCAACATACATATATTCAACTGAATACAGTAAAAAGCCAAGATATTTAATGTTCAAACCCATAAATTTGATTGTTTTTTAGTAATATTTACATGTCGATCCCTAAACGTTTCGCAATTTGTACTTTGAGTAACATTGTTTCTTAAGCTGTTGCACATTTTTTTGCTCACGCGGTTCACAAAGTGGTGAACCTCACCCCATCCTTGTTTGTGAATGACTGAGCCTTTCATGGATGCTCCTTTTTTGGAACATATTGCAGGCATCAAATTTAAAATGAGTGAATATTTGCAAAAAAACAATGACGTTTATCCGTTTGAACAGGAAATATCTGTCTAATGTATTCAGTAGCATACAGGTTGAAAAGGATCCCAGCTTCACTGGGACTGGGGTTGTACCTTTTTTCACTACATGATCAAAGTTTAATAGTGACAGGAACAGGATAAAATGAAACTGTCTAATACAGGTGCTGGTTAGTTCATCATTTTTCAAATCATACAACAATTTCACCAAAAGCTTTTTCCAGAACTGCTGTTTGCATGTGGATGAGAGATGCAACAGAAAATTATCCGGCGTAGTGAAGCCRTGGCATCGATCACACAAAGTGAAGCTTGTTAGCTTATGTTGCTAAAGATTTTTTAAGGTTGTTTAATATCAGGGTAAACATTAAATCTGCATCAAAACGGTGGCAGTTTTCTTTAGCTGGAATTCGGTATAGTGCAACATTATTACCCATAATCAAGTAAAGTTAATCATRTAACATAATGAGCATCCGCTTACTTCCTTGTTTTATTATTCTTGCTACATATCGAGGGTTTTAGTGATACAAAACCTTTGCTGAGGTAGAATYAATCCTGTTTTGTTAAAACAACACTGGAGATGAATGAAAATTAGTATTCTGAATCAGTCRTGTAGGATCTTGTAGTTTAGCATAYAGTGCTCCAGWTTAATCCACAAAACATGAAGCTTTAAGGCTTTGAAACTGTTATGCAGRAAATCAAACAGCTTTTGGCTCTTTCTGCCTCACTGAAACGTTGAATGAAAGTACAATCTCATTTTTCTCTCTCTACCCTGAAGTGCTACAAATAGTTGTTTACAAATGCAGTCGAATAAACTGGATGCAAAATGTTAAAACCAGTCCTGATGAATCCAACTCGTCTCAGAGAAAGTTAATGTGATTTTCTGAATGTTGTACAWGTGATGGTTCTGAGTAGCAAATCCAAACTGAATGTATATGTAAACTGTGTGTCTGATGTAAGTTAGTGGTGACTTTTGAATACATGTTGGCATGTGATTCACTTCTGTGAGTTTCAGATCACTAAACTGATCCGTTTTACTTGATTTGTTTCATTTTCCAACAAGTATGTAACTTTGTTTTGTTTTGGTCTCAGCGGAATAAACTCAATGATTTCTCTTTGCCACAAATGTCTCTTTGGATAAGTTTTTCTCCTTATTTAGGATTTCTGTATGATTGWTTGGACTGAACATCTTAGGTCTGGGCACTTCAGGACTCTGGTTCAAAGTTCCAGTACATGGAAATAATGACAACAGGACTGTTTCCTGGGTCATCGTTCACAATAACAACGTGCACGAAGCAAGATAAAAGTGAGATAAGTTAATGTGTTCAAAGTCACGGTAACAACAATCTGATCCAACGTCATCAAAAAACAACAACACATCAGGTAGTATAGTATAGTATAGTATAGTATAGTATAGT